GGGCCATCTATTATTTCTAAGTGTTAGTATGTGGGAATGAAATAGTTACAGTCTGGAATTGAAAGAGAAGAGACTCATCTGCTGCGTGAGTTTGTATCACTGCAAAAGGGGAGATTCATCATCCTTCTCTCCAAGCTAAACCCTAAACAAGCCAAGTGTTTTTCTCGTTATTATAAGTTATAAACACATTCCGATTTATTGCCTCGCTATTTCAAATCTTTAATAGATAGCCAAATATCTTTAAATTGTTCTCTAGTACACACCTGAATCCGTTTTCTCTACAAACCATGTCCCTCCTAGTTCAGCGATCCACGACACCTGCTCAAAAAAGCAATACATATACTTAAAAGTAAGACAACTTCATCAAACTCGAGATACATATGCGAATCGAGAATAGCATATTATAACAAGGAAGCAACAAAACCAAGAAAACGTAAACATGAAGACTGATGCAACTTACTTTTGCGCTCCACAGTTACAGGGGATCTTGTCGTCCTCCAGTGGGAACTTGTAGTTGTAACATATTTCTTCACCGACGTCTATATGCCGTTTAGCATAAATGAATATCTTTTTCTGGCCGTCCACGCTTATAATCTTGGTGTAACAGTTAGGCTGCAGAAGCAAAATGCCTTCTATAAGGCCCCAGATCCACAAAAACAATCTAGTCAACGATACAAAACTATGCATACAATTACCTCACATGAATGGTTTATAAACCTCGCTATGCCACCACGCTTTGTGGCATCAACCTAAGACTCGTCGTAAGCAACAAAGTGATTCAGAACTGCCACTCTTTAAAAATGAAAACATAACTAGATATGAATTAATGTATTGAACAGGTGACTAACCACATAGCCATCGTCAAGCCTGAAAAGATAGCTGCTTCCAATTCCCATCTTTTCATATTGGCGTTCACGTATCTCAGATATCTGTCAGATTCACATATTGAACCACAATCACGATTCATCAAAGAGGCTAAGATGATGTAACAGAACTACTACTACCCACAAAATAGATCCCAGGAACACACAATCAAACAAGGCATACTTACAGAAGAACGTATCAACTCTCCGACATATTCAATCACAAAGTCCTCAGCTTCAATTGGTTCAAGTGCGACAAGACCCCAATCATGAATACTGCTTTGTTGAAACCGCAAGCGCTTTTTCCTAGCCTGTCACAGATATGACAAAAACAAACAAAGATATTAACACTACACAGACATGTTCAAAGAGATAACTGGTTTATGCTTTGATCACCTTCAACTGAGAAATTTTCATGAGGTCAGCACCATCTGCAGCAGCTAGAAGATTACGCATTTTTGCCCTATTAGTTCTTGCGGAAAGAACATTTTGAGTCAAATTAATTTTGGAACCAAAATGTTGTGTGTGTACGCAAGAACTTCCCCTAACGCGAGCTCTCTCTTCAGGACTAGCCTTTAACGACCATGCATGCCAATGCCAGCCATTAATAGACGTGCGTGCACATCCATCAGACTTTGGCATTGACATTAACACCCTTTTTTTGCCTGCTTTCGGCGTCAGCTTTGCCAATGGTTTCAATGCAACCGTCCTGGGGATGCCATAATCCATTGTCAAATCCTTAATGGGAGAAAGCTCTGCTGTATCTTTTGCTAATAGTTTCCTTTTAGGCTTCAATTTCTTCGAACCTACTACACAAACCAACCAAATACAGGTAGTTTAAGGTTATTAATCTATAACAAAAAATAATACAAAATCACAGGAGCCTAAAAACTCAAAAACTTTAAGGAAATAATTACCTTTCTGCAGCTTATTTGATGTATTGCAGGGAATCTTTTCTTCATTTCCAACATGATAGCCTTCCTTAACAACAGCAACCTCGGTATCCTTGGCAGACAGGGATAACCTCCGACACAAAGGTACATCAGGGATTTTTTCATCCAACGGGCGCTTCCTCTTTAGCATTGAGGCTGGCGATGCTTCATGAAAGAAAGTACTGGATTGTTAAAATCTGGGACCCATGTATTCAAGTAGCCACCTATCCTTGTGAGAATATAAAGTACGAAACAGCAACGAAGTAGGGCGCTAGACACTTACACTTTCGGGCCTTCTGTGATACACTGCACACCGACTTTTCCACCAAATTTTTCCCTTCAGCAGATTTCTCAGGATTTCCAGTAGGGGTTGACACATCTTGACAGTTCTTCGCAGCATCTTCTGGAGATAGTAATTTAGTAAAGCAATTGCGAGAGGCATTCCCAAAACCTGGGAAATAAAACAAAGAGATCTTACTTTTCCATCTTTTGCTGAGGGGTTGAGGGTCAACTTTTTCCTTGATTGCAAAACCGAGGCTTTCGCTGTCACCTTCCTTTCCAGAAATCTCAGCAGAATCTCTGACTGCTCCATTGCAAGATTTTGTACCTTGGACTCTGACATCTGACATACTCTTTCTCTTTAGCTTTAATATACGAGCTGCTTTTCAGAAAGATGATATCAACAGGCTTGGGATGCATGGTAAAGAAGCTCAAGAGCTCAGACGACAGGAAGTTGAATGTTTAGGAAACAAATAAAGTAGTCATTTACCTTTTTGTATTTTCTGAGAAGACTTATTTGAAAGATTTTCCTCATGACCTTTGCAGTCAACGGTTTCCCCAGATTCCTCAGCGGATGTTGTCATCTCCTCACAAGATTTTGCAACATTTGTACCTTCTCGTAACTCTTTTTTTTTATTCCTTGTTATCCCTGATAGAATATACACCCAAAAGAACATGGAAACCAAAAAAAAAAGACAAACCCTGATATCAAAAAGAATAACAAGTACTATAATACAAAGAAAACTTACTTCTTAGCCTTGTGACAAGGAATTCGTCATCAAATTCATCTGGCAATTCAACATCTTGGCTCTTCTCGCATATCAACTTACTAGGAGCATCTTTACTAACTTTTTCTTTACGAAACTTTGTCACATCCTTTAAGATACCTGCA